TGCTACCAAGGGAGCCCACATCGAGGTCTACTGAGGTCAGTAAAAAACTTCCAGAGTTTCACTGTAATCTGCCGCAAACCGCACGTGGCAAGCTCAATTTGTTTGCGCGCCACAATTTTTCAAAACCCCGAAGGGACTTTGTGGACACACTGTAGAATTCTGTTAGCAGATACATGCTAAGTGTGATATCACGTTTTGACTGGGCACTGTGATTGGAAGCTAAACTCTGAAGCACCTCGAGAGGGTGGAAAGAGTTAGGGTTGCCATAGCAATGTAGTGTGTCATTCTTCTACTTGCAGACAAGTCATTAAAGTAAAATATGATTATGTTGGTGCAGTATTTATTTCAGTATGACTGCCGAAGTGCCGTTGAAACAAAAGAAACAAACTGTATTATAACATTGAATGGATAGTTGATGTCCTACTATTAGATAACAGAGGTGAGTTTAATTTTTTTGGAAACAAATTATATTGTATAATGTGGTTTAATGGTTTTTGTTGTTTATAAGATGATGAAAGAATGTCATTTAAATGTTTTAACCCCCAAATGTGTTGACTTCTGATCAGATATGGTTTTAGGTTGTGTAGCAGAAAACTTGAAAAATGTGTAATTATAAACTTTATATAACACAATTATACTGATATATCTTGTATTTTACTTGCATTCATTATTTATCATAAATTATTTGTGATGTATTATATATAAATTATATTTTGTTATTTGTAATTAGCATTATCATAATTTATACAATGAAGATGGGTTATGTTATGACCTTGATGGTTGTAAAGCCCATCTTTGTTTATTGTCCTGACAGTTATCCATTACCAGTGTAGTTAACTGCACAGGAAGTTCTTAACACGTTCACAGTCGGCATTTAAAAGCAGGCTGTAATTAAATGCCAGGAATGTCCGCGGCTAGGGCTTCGTGCTGTCTGAGGGAATAAAACCAAAACAATGTTTGTTTCTCTCTTGAAGTTTCCTTTGAGGGAAAAAAGGGAACATTTTACATCTTTAGCAGTTTTTGAGTATATGATGTCATACGTAACAGCCTTTGCTGATTAATTCCTTCATTCTCTGTGTAATAAACACGATTGACTTGTCATTAATGAAAGAGATTGCATTTTGGAGCACAGAAGAATAAATCCTACAACTTACTTTAGTTTCTTGTTTATGGTAATATAAAAGTTACTGATCGGTATATTCCGTGCAGTTTGACTTCACTTTTTGTTTCCATGAATGTACTTTCGCAGAATTCACATGATCTTACATATGACATCATCTTCTCAGGATCATTTAAGTTATAAGGAACGGTCTGCTGAATCGGGGGATTTGGAACTGCCAGTGTTAAAAGTCTATCCAATAAATGTAAAATGTCAATTTTTTGAAGTTTTGACAGTGAATGTGTTAAGTTTACCAATACATCATTAGTTTGCTTTTTAAAAACATGTGTGTCTGAATTTTATCATTTATAATGCGTGACTAAATGAAGTGTCTGTGTTGAGAATGATTTGTTACTTTAATTTGATAGTAGCACCCCTAACAGCCGTGTTAAAAACCTCGTATGCCGTAATTAAATATTGGTTGTTCGGCATATTTAGTGTCTCCTGGACAGTTTTGTTATTCAGATTCACATGGTTTTGGAAGTAAGCAAATATTTTGCATTTATAAACTTCCTTGTGAAACTGTCTTGACAGTTTGTGATCATATGATAATATTTTATTCTAAGAAAAATTCTGTCTCCGTCAGGGTCATGTGTCTTTTGACAGTTGTATGTATTTTACACATGAGATCACGCTATCCTTTGCTCATCCAGTCACTGGGTCATTTTTGTCTCTTGTAAATGTTTACATTTAAATTGTGATACTTCACCAGCACATAATTAACTCCTTGGAGCCAAGGCCTTCTTGAGAAGCTAATAGTTTGCTCAAGTAGTCAAGATATTACCAAGATTTTATGGAATGTGAAGGTTCTTTACCGTGTTCTCAAGATCCTGCCACTGACCTCCGCACCCACCCAGATAAATCCATTTCACATCTTTCAACCAAATTTATCTAAGTTCCATTTTAATATTATCCTTCCATCTATGCCTCAGTCTTCTGAGTAGTCTCGTCCCTTCAAGTTTTCTAACCAAAATTTTGTAAAACTTAAACATGAGTGGAAAAGTTAATATTAAATGTACATCAGGAGAATTTTAAAATATTTTTGAAGTTTTACAAGGAGATTGTGAATGATTAGTACCATGCCGCGAATTTTCAGCAGAGTCAGTCAGTTAATGTATCATTCAATGACAACTGGCAAATAGTCATTTTTGTGTAAAATATACCAGTTTAAGCAATACCACATCATGCTTTTGTGTCATATGGGAAAGGAAGACAAACATAGTTAATGTCACTTTTCACAATTTTAGCACAGTAATAGTGGTAATTATTATTATTATTATTCTTTTCTGAAACTTCAACTTTAATTTAAGTAGTGTTTTTACCAAATTTTGGTTTGAGACTGCCCAGACCCCACTGTTTTTTTTAAACACGCAGATACCAAAGGCCCTTACCAGTTACAGAATCAAAATACCAAATGTCAGAAACACCACGTCCTCACTATAGTTCAGAATCCATTTCAGACTTTAAATTGACATCATCTGCATTATATAAAGCCCAGTTTGATGTTGCTTTGACATGTGTTTCGGTGCGCTGAAATTGGCCTGAAATTTCTCAGCATGATGTGAGATAGCAGAAAGTTGTACTTTATAAATACTGCTACCATTAGACAGCTTTTAGAATTACTCCTGTATGGGTGATAGAAATGTTTTGATGATATGCGTTGTTCTAAGTTGAAACTGGAAGAAAGGACACGTAAAAGGAATAAACTGGGTAAGGGATGGAGATGCAAAATGTTACTCTCTATTGAATTACAGTTGGCCTTTTGACTAGTATAGGTATAATGAAAATTACCTCTTGGGTACTCATAAAAATATAAAAAAAAATGGATTTTGGGGGAAATTTCTTGACCAGCCAAGTAACTGCTAGCTTCTCAAGAAGGAGGCAGTTTTCTATTAAACTCAAGGTGATGGGAATTCAAGATTAAAAGTTGCGGCCCAGTCCTGCAGCAGATGGAGCGACACTCCGTTCCCTCCACATACTATTACAACGACTGGACCTGTTGTCAGCTGTGGAAGGAACCCTTCATTTTGCAGTCTTGCCAATACACCACAGTATACAGCAGATAGTGTGGCTCCACATCCAGGTTCCACCAATGTCCGTTCATCGTCTGCAAGAAGTTAAACTGTGTTAAATGTAAAGGAAAGGATCGTCTCTTACGTGTTACTCAACATACTCGAATTCCAATGCCATTGCACTGATAAATGTAACCGACATGCACTGGTCTGTCGGTGATCGGATGGTCTTCTGGGTCATGATGCCACGTGATCTTAGAGGAACATATTGCTGCCATCTTCGGAGTGAAGTCCACACAGCATCACGACCCAGAAGAGTACCGTCAAAATGTTCACTGCTATGAAAACCTCAGATCTGGGATGCAGTAGTCTCTTGTATGAATTAGTGTCTAGTGATAATGATCTAGATGCTTGTAAGCTGAAGACGTGTGATGCAAACAATTCAGTTCTCCCCACTCCACTCCCCCAGTTTCTTCACAAATACAGTAATTTATTCTGTGTGAAGTTGATTTGTTGTACTAAGATTAAGTAACAGAAAATGCAGAAAATTTTACAGCTTTGAGCTTCATTGTTTGTACAAATCGCTCAGTAATGGAATTGACGGTATTGATGTAAGTAGGACATGTCATAAGAATTGCATGTGGACCTCCATGGAAAGACATCAAGATGTAGGCTGGAGGATAACATTAAAATAGATATGAAAATGGTTCATAGGTTAGGTTAGGTTAGGTTATGAGGATGTGTGTGGCATTATGATGACAGTGATGAACTTACAGGTGTCATAACAACGTGAGAACTTCTTGAACAGATTAATGTCTACTGACAGACAGCGTGTATCAAGATGGGAGTAATGAAAAACAGTGCTACAAACCTGCAAACTTTATACAACTTTTGATGGCTTGTGCATCTGTCACAACTTCAGAAATGACGTTGAATTGCGGAAGTGCCTCGAGAAGATGTGGTGCCACAGTACGTGCTCCCAGACACTTGGCAACACTGGATGGATCACAAAATAACACTATTATATCAACTGTGAATGGTCATCGAAATAAAATTTCTGTCTTTACGTCGAGACTTTCGTGTCGTGGCATATAGAGTCTGTGTGACGGTGGCAAGTTGATGCTATTAATGGATTTTTTTGATCAGCGACTCACGCCATTTCAATGGCATAAAACTATGAAAGAAACCTGGAATAGGACTGTTTATGAGAAAAATTGCCGTTGGAAGGGTTAATGGATGTGGCGCACAGAATGGCTGTGATAGAAATATTACCTTGTAATTTTCTCAAGTGCTACCATTTTCTTGGCTTTGACAGACAGATTGAAGCAGTGAGCTCCATATGTTTCCATCGCCACTACAGGCACATCTTTCCAACCTGAACAGAAAAAAAATAAAATGTAAGAATACATTTATTAGGGAAGTATTGCGTAAGTGCTAGGATATTTTTGGTGGCTATTGTCAGAATTTTAATTTGCCTGTGCATCAGAAATGCAGTTTTTGTGCCACATTTATCACTGCTATTTTGTATGGCACGAAACTTGGTTTATTTCTGGTGTGGGAAGAACAGAAATTGGAAGTATTTGAAAATAAGTTCGTAATGAAAATGTGTATTTGGTTGCAAGTGGGAATGTTACGTGATGAAGAACTTCATTAGTGTGTGGAGGACCAGCCAGCAGTAGAAGATTAATATTAAAACAGATCCGATGGTATTCGTTTTTTGTGGTGATGATGGATCCTCTGTTTCGTGAAGTGAGGGAGAGAGAAATTCAAGCAACTCACCGTGTCTTTCAAGGCCCTGAAGCACGCCCAGTAGAAGCCCTCCTCCTCCGACAGAGAGAACGATAGTACTTGGTTTGCTGGGAAGTTGAATTTTGAGTTCATCCATCAAAGTGGAATTACCTGCCCTGTAAAATTTAAAATTCATCATTTGTGAGAGATTTCAGGTTCTCAAAGTAACAAATATGAAGATGACTGTCTTCTGGGATTTGCGATACGTAGTCTGGTAGAAATTGACTGACAAATGTTAAGTCTTTTTCTACCAGATCACGTATCTCAATATCCCAGAAGACAGTCATCTTCCTGTTCATAATTTATTTTTATTATTTGCAGATACGATCATATGAATCACTTCTACACAGTCTCTGGAATCATTTCAAGTGGGCGGTCACACTGCAGTGTTATAATATCATGAATTATGAAGCAAAGCCATCATTGTGCAAGGTTTGTGCACTTTTTACTATTTTTTATAAAATTTTAATTGTATCTTTTAATATTGGCTTGTATGCTATTTAATTATGTTTTATGAATTGTAGTTGTTAAATCACGTAAAATGGAATGAGAGCTAACGCGCTGAACTGGAAAGGTTTGTAGAACTGTTTTATGGAGCAGGTAAATGATGTAATTATTTCTTGCAAGCTATCTTTCTGTTTCTGAGGGTCTGCTGGCAGAAATGTGTGAGGCCCATTTGCGACCATATATGAACCTCATTCAGTAGACCACATTTGTCATCTTGACCACTGTGAGAACTTAAAATGTCTATGTATTTCGTGTTTTTAAATATTTTCCATGGTTTCTTTCATTGCTATTCCACCACATAATCAACCGTCAAAATTTATATTGCATTTCTTGTTGGACAAAAAATGGCTGTCCTCACCTTGACTTGTGCTCCATTGTCTTTCATGAGTTCTATGCATACTGGCTGTGCTGACTCTGGTACATACACGGTACAGGGAATGTCGAAAGCTCGAGAAGCGATGGCAGCTGCGACACCAGCGTTGCCGCCAGACGATGACACCAACTGCTGGTAGCCTTCTTCCTTCATCTGAAATATATCAGACGCTTTCGATCTGGATTGCGATACCATGTGGTTACCAACGTTTTGGACGAACTTACCACCTCCTTCTTCACATCTACACTAATGTTATTTTCTTCTGAAACATTGGTAACCAACTACAAGATTATGTGGTATCATGATGCAGAAGTTCACAGTTCACTGCTGTGAAAACATCAAATCTCAATTTGAATTTTTGTCATGCACTGGTAGGTCTTTCTCCAAGTTGTTCCGTTTTCCCAATCTCAATTTGAATTTTTGTCATGCACGTGTAGGTCTTTCTCCAAGTTGTTCCATTTTCCGCTGCTAATCATCCGACCATTATTCTGTATGCACCTATCACCACCTCACGACGTGTGCGATAGCCCTGACCCATACATCACATTATCACATCCTGAGTCTGAAGTTAAGGGATTCATCTCCGACCCAGTACTTGGGGCTGGTCTCAGAATAAAGGTAATTTAGTTTGTGTAGGTATATAACAAGTTAAATTTGTCACTCTGCTTACAGTATGGGGGGAGTGGAGATAAAACTCCATGCATTCTTAAACCTTCTTGGCACTAGATGGAAGTCGGTAATAAACTTTGCATTCTTGGCCGTTATGCTGGGGAAGAAGTTATTTTCTCAAAAAGGATGCTGTTGAATGGAATTAATTAGCAGATAAGTCACAAGGCTGATTAGATGAAATATTGTATAGTACTAACCTGGTTACAGATTATAACAGAAATAGCCAATACGATCCTAGAATATTCTCATATTTATGGTAATTTCTTCTATTTTTAATTTCAGTTTCACCTCTGAACACAAACTTCACATCAAAACTCGGTCTTACCTTTCTTGCCAGCCTTCCGACACCCCGAATCTTATAGGAACCGGATGGTTGGCAGTTTTCCATTTTCATGTAAACTTCAGCGGGACCTGGTAAGAGTTGCGACAATTTTTTGCTGTGTCTAAGTGGTGTCACAAAATGTAAGGGTTCATTGATTTCCTCATAACCACGAGAATCCATATTCACTTTAATGTCCACGCTGGTATGTTAAATTACGAAAATAATTTTTTTTGTGAAACTTCTTTTCTAGATGAAGAGTCTGGACCAGTTTGCTGTTTCCTTTTCTTTCACTGACTAATAGGTTTCATATTCCATACTCATCTGTAACATGTTTTATAAATAGTACTTCAAGGGCACAGATAAAAATTTTAATCTCTATCACATTCAAGATGATTCAGCTATAAAAGCTCCATATGTTCATTAGCGTGAATTTATGTAATGATATCGACTGACATATGTTAACACCGAGTGATAAAAATTGAGAGGAACAAAATTTTATTAATGTGCAATAATGGCTAGTGGTGACCTCTTGTGAACATGAAAATGAATCTGAAGGTCCATTATTATGTTTACAAGAGACCACACCAGTCCCAAATCTAAGCCCACTCCTTCCCAATCTGTTTCCTTAAAATCAATTTTAATATTATCCTCCCAACTGCAGTTAGGTGTTCTGAATGTTCTCGTCCCTTAAAGTTTTGCCTGCCAGAATGTTTTCTTGTTCTGCCCAGGAGATAGAGGGGACATTTTATTTCAAAATGTTGGTCACCACTTACGAGGCCACATGGCATCATAATTCCATAATCCAGAAAATGATAACATTTGGACCAGCTCTGTAAGGTATAGCAGGTTCCATACAAGGAACATCATACATAAATATAAACAGAAACAAAATTCTTCAAGTTGATTGCTTTATTTTAAGTCAAGTGTGCGTTACAGTCATTTTATCTTTCAGTCTTCAATGTTTTGATCATGTTATTACATGGTATGACACATTTTGTACACGGCACCAAGCAAAGACTTGTACAAATTTATTTACAAATTGCAATTCATAAAAATATATAAACTTGTATTATGCAAAGTACGATATTTGTGAAATATCATCATTGCAAGATATTAACTTTTCCTGCGTCAGCTACATTTCTTTAGTCCCACTGTGTTTTTATTTTGAACTGAAAGCGAGAGCAAAATTAGGCCTTTAAAAATTAAAGTATAGCGCACATCTGGTTTTAAATCGAGAGTCCACGGAATGGGCGTCAAAAAGTTGCTTATAGAATTTCTGCATTGCCTCATCTTATTATTAGATGATTTAATCTGCCCATAGCGACTTTTAATTTTTCTGCTTCAAAGGACTCTATTTTGTCCGAGCTGCTACGCCCAGGTCTCTGAAGTGGTCCCTTCTTTTCAGATTTTTCAACTGGAACTTGTAGGTTATGAATGAATCTGGGCTTTGCGACCGTCAGCAAGCAGCGAATTCCATATGGACTGCAACTGCACTGTCTGAATTTCTTGAAGTGAGAAATGAACAAATTTCTGTTGCAGGAGTTGGTGTTACTTTTTGACTTTAAATGTCACAGTGCAAAAAATATTCAGTGATGAAACAGTCTTAACAAGGACATAGGAAAGGTTAAAATACTATTTAATTTATTGAATATTTATTACATTTTATGCTCAAATAATTATTTACAATTAAAAAAACACAAGAGAGAATACAATTAAATGTTACGGAATGGAAACTGTGGCCAGAAAAATTTAACTAATGCCCGATTGTATGGCAGATTATTTGCATTAAATATACACGTTCAAGTCTGAAGCTACTTTATCTTCTTCAGGTCCTCAAATCTCCTTGTGAGATCATCAAAATCAATGTCGTCATTTCCCAAATTTCTTGGACGAAGAGAATCATCTGGTGGTGGGAAACTGTCCGTCGGGACAGACGGCAACTCTGGTAAGTCCAAGAATCCGTCGTCGTCCTTTGATTGTTGGCCAGGCCCGCCGCCGGGCGACAGCTTTGCTCTCGGTAAAGGTTTCGGTTTGTCGTCACTCTGAATATTAACATGGGGGGGAAAAAAAATCACACAATATAATTCTTTCAAATGTTGACTTGCGTTCTCATGTTTATTAGACAAATGAAAACTTGGCTCATGAAGAAATATTATTAATACTTTCTTTAGTGAAGAATGTATCTGAATGCGAGGCATTAATGCTGAGGTAAATAAGTTTACGTTAATATTTCTATAATTTTCTAAGCCTGGATTTCAGCCATCAGATATTCAAGAAGATACATTTTCTGCTTGTACAGAAGTTGAGCAATAAATGAAAACAAAGTACTGGTATGAATTTATACCAATTCGTACATGTAACCCAACGTAAGATGCCTCGCCCGTCTGAAAATCAGTGCTCAGTGTTACCACATTGCGAGGGACAACTGTAGAGAAAAGAAATGTGCCAACCCTTCCAGAAGTAATGTTATTGGCTCAGTGCAAAGGTGTGGTTATGAACTATGTTAATGCAACAGCCATTTTTCTCAAGCTGATAGTAGCTCAGTCAGTTAAGAAACACCCCACCTTGCGTGAAATATAGGTTCTGAACAGCCCATCACCAGACCCCATCTTGTTCCCTGGTTGTGTAATAAATTGTAGAATTGAGTATCACGAGTGTTTATTTGCTGAATTTACGAATCCATCGCTTTCTACAATTCACAGAATCTTACAAACCCTCCAAAACTAAGATCCGTGGCGTAATTGGCTCCAGAGAGCCAAAGCCGACTAGCTTGACTGCTGGCCCAACGTTCACATGCCTAAGCAGAGGTGAACGATCATCCAACCAGATATAGGGTGACGTGTGGTCAACACGACGAACCCCCAGCCATTGCTAGTTTTCATGACCGGATTACGCTACTCATTGTAGCTCCCCAATTTCCTCACGATGAGAAATTTCTTTCCCCGAGACTCGAACCAGCGCGCATTCCGTATCGCCGGTCCGAAGCATGACGCCTCAGACCGTGCGGCTACAGCACGGGACCCAAAACTAAGATAAGCAAAGAAAATCTCTTGATCCCAGAAAGAAATAGTACAGTATGTTACACTGATGAATAATATCTTATAAAGGTCAGAGACCGAGTTCAAAAATTGTTACTCAAGGAATAATTTCTACGAGCATGCAACTTGGGGTTAAAACTATTATTATTATTCAATGAAAGTCTCCTAAAGGACCAGCAGAACTAAAGAAGTTGTTTTACACAATTCTCTGTCCTGTGGTTAGTAAAATTAAGATAAATAAGTTATTTATCAAGGTTATGATGTGACCTTGATGTTCTAGAAATCATTAGCTTAATTTATTTTTCAGCAGTTTGTATACCTGTTTGTTGTTGTCATGGAGATCAGGGGGGAAGCTGCTGTATGGGGGTGGGGGGGATGTATCCTGCAAATAATAATAAAAAGGCATAACACTACATTACATGCGGCATGCATCGATTAACAGGCATTCAACAACTGAAGAATGGATACCAAAGATACTGAAGCAAAATGCACTGGTTAGCATTCAAAAACCAAAACTGAAGCAAAGAAATCTCAAAATTTAACCACAAGAAATTACAGATAATTTAAAAACATGTGAACATTCCCTTGTTAGGTCACACATCTTGTACATAAAGCACCAATTCACTGCCCTACGAAAGTGAGGGCATGCCAAAAATACTGTAGAAAAAATTGTGATCAATGATCTAACCGATCAATGATTCAAATTCAATCAACCATTGCGAAGAAAAAGAGAAAAATCCCCCCAAACAAACCAACAGACAGTTTCATGTCTCGTGCTACGAACCTGAAGATTTGTGTTCAGAGGCTTTGTCGCTGCATTAAATGCAGGAACCCCACTGTCACTTGCAGGGGGGATGTTGTATGAAAAAGGAACGCCATAAGCGAAAGAAGCGTTCGGCGCTTGGGCTGGCAGCTGGGGCGGAGTCACAAATCCACCGGCAGACGAAGGCGGAACCTTCTGTTGACTCTGAACCAAAAAGAGAAAGAAACTTCAATGTGAGTTCGTACTGAGCACTGAAACAGATTTTTGTAAACTAATTTCTTTTTTAATTACACAATTTTGAATTCTGCCTTTCATGACATTCATTCTGATCAATCTTCAATAAAATTTCTGCTGCCAATAATTTGCTTTCTTAAAATAATGTATTTCAGGTTTTGACCGCAAAAATTAAGACCCTCTGTTCCATCTTTCCGCACTTCGCTTCACGTTGACAGAGCGGCTTCAGGATTTGCTTTCAGACACTCCAAATGTTTCAGTCACTTATTTCAGATTCACATCTGACAAGAGTACAGCAAAACAAAAAACAAAAAGGAAACTTAAGACACCGAGTTTACTGGGTAATTGAATGGCTGGAAATCAGAAGGTTGCTGTGGTAACACAGGAGGCTGTGGGAAGCCAATGAATCCTGCGGGCTGAGCGGGCAGCACGTTCCCTCCGTTGCCTCCATCCAGGTTGTTCTTGTCAGAATCGACATTGATCAACAGAGCATCCACGCCCATCGACTGCTGATCCTCCTTCATTACCTGAACACAGAAGAACATAAATATGTATTATAATTATTGTCCTTTAACATTATCTTATATTCCAGAAGGCTGAGCCATAGCTCAGGCGGTTAGTCACCGGCTGCTTCGTCCCAGGGCAGTCCACGTGGGATTTGTGGTGGATGAAGTGGCACTGAAACAATTTCTTCTCCACATCCTCCAGTTTTCTCCTGTCAGTATTTTTCTGTCACTGCTCCACATTCACTCACGTATCGTCCAGAGGACGGATGGTGACCCAGTTAGCAGTCGCATTTGCACGGGGACATAGTCTGACCCCATCACAATAATAATAGTAACAATATAATCATGAAAATGTAATGTGAGGCCTTAACTGTGACATATGAAGTCAAGGATAAGAACAAATCAAAAATCAATGTATTCAATCAGAACTTAACCTCAAAATTTAGAGTTAATTCTTCATTCAGGTTTGTGTGCTGCCTGACCATTCTCTGTTAGTAATTATATTTATAACATTTAAGCAATGAAAGGAGCCACACTTACTTGAGGATCTGGTTCATACTCAATGTTATAATTCCTGGCTATCTCAATCAGATACTTCTCCACAAGAAGTTTTGGGGGCGACTGAACACTCATCTTGTGTTTCAGCTTCTCTGAGATTGAATCAACGGCCTCTTCTCTGCATGCCTGTTCAGGAAAATAGTGAATTTAGGATAATGTGCAAATTATCTCATTGTTGAGATCACCTGAATTAGAGAATACCATTGAAATAACTGTATCTAGCGTCCATGGAGTTGAAAGTTGTTTGAAAAATCATTAATTTTAAATTTAGGTTGGATTAAACTTGATTTCAACATCAGGATGTTTCAGCACAAGAAACAACACTTACATCAGCATACTGTCGACCATACTTTGCCATCAGAAGATCTGCAATAACTTTCATTTCTGCAACATCTGTTAGAAGTCTTGGTGCCACCCACAAGAGACTTGATATAGCTTCAGAAAGACCTGCATCCAAAGTTCTAACAAAATGAGAAACAGGTAATTAAAAGTATTTAAGATCATCTTCTATGATGTACCATTGAATAATAGCAGTCTTAATAATGTGTGAATTAGTTGGGTAATCGGGGGCCTTTTCAAAATACAGTTAAATGCAATTGCCCTCAAGAAACTTCAAATGCAAATTGATATCACAGTTCGTATCTAGGTTACAAGTTTGCAAAAAAAACTTACTTCATTTGTTGAATCAAACCAAATCTTGCTAACAGCAAGTCACAGTACATTTCTACCACTTCCATTGCTTCTACCATGTAATCTTCTCTAATTATATGTTC